GAGGGCAGTGTCACTGGCCCTCATATGTGGGATCCGAACCGGGGCCCTCTGGCGTCCCAAGCCAGTTCTTAACCATCGCGCCACTCGACCGGCCCTGTAAAAGCTTTTAAAAGCTTAATATTCTGAGTGCTTAATACATATTTGTTGACTACTGGAGATTATTGGAGATGACACAAGACCTACATCAATTAGTAACTTGCACAGAAAAATCTCATCTTGATAGAAAATCACAGATAAAAATATGGGAGAAATTTGGAAACAGTAGAACAGAGAACCTTCTTCCTTTTCATCTCAGACAGGGATAGACACCAAGCTCTGCAAATGACAAGCAGGCTAAGAAGTCCTTTGCAGACTGGAGCCTCTAACCACCCTAAGAGCAAGCTAGTTAAGGCAGTTGTCTGTAGGGAGTGAAAGTAGATAGAGGGGTTTTCCTGGCGTCTTCCTCAAGCAAGCCCTTCCATAGCCATGTAGCTGGTGGGCTGGCCAAGCACACTAAGTGCACCACAGAGGAAGATTTTGCTATTTGAGCTTTATACTCAATAGCTCAGAAAAGACTCTAGTGTGGTCATTCTGGGGAAAATTGCTATTTTGTTGGACATCCTAACTAATGCCATGGTTAAGTTTTGCTTTTATTTAAATCATGTAGAAGGAAAGGTACCTAATTTTTTCCTGGTCAAAGGCTTTAATCGGACCCTGCCTAGCACAAAATTCCTATCTGTTTAGTGAGGCCACTAAACCAGAGGTCGAAAAAACTGGAAATAAGTTTGGACCTAGGAGGCCTATCTTATTACACTGACTAAAAGCTAGTTGAGACAAAAAACTATGGATCTAGTCCTTTAACTCTTATTTGTTCAGCGTTCAATGTGACAAAATAGGTAATTGTGTTTTAAAAATCTATATAGGTTTTGTTATTTTATTATTATTCTTTTTAGTTACAAATATTTTTTTGTGTGATGAAAGCTTTTAAGATCTATCCTCATAAGCAACTTCTGAATATAAAGATGTGGAATGACTCACAAATTTTTGTGTTATCTGGGGGTCATGCTAATCTTCTTTGCATCATTCCAATTTTAGAATATGTGCTACAGATGTGAGCACTACTGCATGTTTTTTAAGAGCCGAAAACAAAACGGACTTATGGAAGTCCCATTTTCTCTGTTACTCGCATCTGAATGTCTGACCTTTACAGCAGTGCATGAACTTGGAGAATCCCACTCCCCTGAGTAAATCACAATTGTCCCATAGAACTCAAACCTTAGCTGGTACAGTTCGTCATGACAATGCCGCTCCTTCCTAGTTTTCACCATAACGCCCCTCTTCAAAGTATGCCAGGATTCTCATGTGGGAGAGAAATACTGTGTTTCCTGTCCTTGTCACAGATTTTATTGTTAGTGCCACCAGTGTCCCTCACTCAGCATTTTTCCTTCCCTTGCCCATTCCTCCCTGGTTAATGAACAAAATGCTTCTGGGAAATGAACTTCAGAAACATGCTGGAAACCCTTGATCTCATGGCAGCTGCAAGAATTGCAGGCATGGAATGGAAACAAATATTTGATAACTAATGAAATAGGTGTATCCGGGAAGCATCTTATAAATCCAACCTTATTCTTCAGCAGATAATCTTGCAGTAGCCACAGAGATGCCTCCTAACAGCTGCAGGGACTGTAACATGGTTTTCACCAACCAGCCTTAAAAGAGTGTTTTATGACTTGCTGTCTCCACAAGTGGCGTCGCCTCAAGATCTGTTTAGGAGTGAAGGCTCTCCCTTTATCACCTGTTCCTCTCTGCACCTATTTGTTACTATCTCTTGAGATGAACCTTCCTCCTAATGGGGATGCTGGTTATCCACTGTCTATGCCAGGGGTCGGCAAACTGTGGCTCGCAAGCCACATGTGGCTCTTTGGGCACGTTCCATCTCAAAAGTTTGCCGACCCCTGGAAGAGCCAATCCTGACCCTCACAACAATTTAAAAATTATTCGAGAGCCATAAATATATTTTTACATAATCACCATTATGTGAATAACATCCTTTAAAAATTTTATAAATAAAGCTATGATAGTTTTATTTTCATTTTCAATTTCACTTCAGAGCCACATGTACGTACCCAAAGAGCCGCATGTGGCTCGCAAGCCGCAGTTTGCTGACCCCTGGCGGCTCTTCTGTCTCAAAAGTTTGCCGGCCCCTGGTCTATGCTACTGCTCAGAGGTGAGGTTGAAGGCAAAAGCAAAGCTCTCATTTCCCCAAATGATGAGCCCCACCAAACATTCTCCTATCTTTGTCAGTTCTGTATTTGTTATTTGTTGGTAGAATTAAAGAGAATCTCTGCCACTTTGGGGCACTTCTCTCTCATGTCCTTCACAGAGCTGCAGGACTGCTCGATGAACTTGAGGGGGGCTGACTCAGAAGCATCTCCTGCTGTTTCCCGCTGCCAGGATGGTGTTTTGTATATAAGCCCGAGGGCATCTGGGCTTGCCTGTGGGGCAGGAGAGGGGCAGAAAAGGGAGGGGTGATGGGGAAAGCACAGGTCACCAGGAAAGAGATTTTTTGGTTCAGGTTATACCCTGAGCACTGAGGCACCCTCTACCCTCTTAGGCCTGACACCTTAGCTATGGGAAGGGACTCTTGATTAGCCTTAAAGTCAGCCTGATTGCAGAGTCCAGCGATGCGGGCCATCAGAAGGTATCAGAGCCTTTGGCAAATGTATTCCCTAAGGAGAAAGAACAGACTGTGAGCAGGGGAGAGGAGAGTTTAAAGCGAGGAATTAATCCCATCTGTTCTGTACCCCAAAACTTCACAGAGACATCTCCTTTCTTTCACACCTCCCTTCTCTTACTCACTTTCCAGCTGTCTTCTGTTTGTCTGAACTCATCATTCCCTCTCAGCTCACTCATCACATCCCCCAAATCCTTTCACTCTTGGCCTACCAATGGCACTAGTCACCAATCTGTTCTTCGCTGGTGTCGGCCTCATAGATAGTCTTATTGAACCATAAGTGGGCAACGGTCATGCAGTCCTGGGTGAGGGTGTCCATCTTGTCAGAGCAGATGGTGGAGGTGGAGCCCAGTGTCTCCACCGCCTCCAGGTTCTTCACCAGGCACTTCTTCCTGGCCATGCATTTGGCTGTCAGCGTCAGACACACCTAAGGCCGTGAAAAAGACAGAGAATGAGTGGAGGGAAGATATTGGCTACTCATATCACTCTGTGTTTTGGATATCCGATTTTTAAAAAAATTTTGTACTAATTTCCCTTTTGTTCCCACCTGGTCTTTAGAGACTTCATCTGTGACTATGGTAAAGGAAATTAGGGAAGTGATTTTTGTTTGTACTCTATTGCAGAGTTTCAAAGCCAGTGTATTCCTTTACCAGGGTATAATAGACAATGATTTTCTTACTGTCCCTGGAATATTCCACTCCCCCATGATCCTGTCATCTTTTCTATTCAGCAGCCTTTTCAAGTCAGGCTACACCTCTTTCTCAAGTCCAATCTTTCCAGAGAACACATCGACAGCTAATTTTTTATTATAGTATAAGATTCTGCATGTGGAGGAGGGGTTGTACCAATAGTTCAAAAAAATGGAGAGAATGATGAAATTGAGAAGGAATAGTGCAGCATTGAAGAGGACTTGTAGAATCATTTAAACCAGAAGATTTTTGTTGATCATAAATTCAATAAAAGTCAGGTGTGTGACAAGGTTGTCACAAAAGCTAATAATTCTTAGGCTGAGGTTATGTTAGTGCAGAATTCTATACATGGGGTTATGGTTTATTTACATAACATCACTAGGCCTGATGTTTTTGTGCTAGTCCAACCACAACCTAAGTATTATTCTCATTCTTATTTTAGGAAGGGTTTTGGTAAACTAGAGCATACCTCAATCAGCAAGACAAGGGGCCTGAAGACTGTGTCATATAGTGAGGGGAAAAGGGATTATTTTGACCACCACCTGGAGAGTTTGAGGAGACATAATGGCTACTGTCAAAAATCTAAAGGGTGATTTGTAGAAGAGAGAGAATTGACTTATTTTGTGTTTCTTCAGATGGGAAAACTGGGACCAAACATGGAATTTATATGGGTTTTGAGTCTTTTCCAGTAAGATTCTATGAGTCTAAATTAATCTTACTCTATAAACTGATGAATAAATTGTGGCCCGGAGGTAAGTGATTTGGTCAAGTTCATTGGCCAGTACACCCAGGACTGAAACTCACTCCTGGAGATTTATAATCTAATGCTTTCTGGGTTGCAACTAACTCTTTCTTGTTGAGAAGAAAGAGAAGGCACTAGAAAATATGGGTGGAAGAAGTCAATGTAATTTGAGAACTAAATGACTTGGCACCTGTATACACGTCAGTAGTACTCTACTCTTGAGCGATTCAACAATGAAACAGATACTAGTGATTTCATTTCCCTGGAGTGATTTGTCTTTTGAGACCACCCTCCATCTTGGCTACTTACAGTGACAGTGGCCAGCAGCCCCTCAGGCACATTGGCTACAATGATGCCAATAAGGAGGATGACAGCCTCCAGCCAGCTGTAGCCCTTGATAATAGAGAGCCCAAAGAAAATGACACCAAGGATGATGGTCACCGAGGTGATCAGATGGATGAAGTGTTCAATCTCTATAGCAATGGGGGTCTTCCCAGTTTTCAGGCCTGATGTCAGGGTGGCAATGCTGCCCATCATTGTGGAGCCTCCTGTGGCAACTACGATGCCCCTTGACTGTTCCTGCAGATGAAGGGGGAAGTCTGAGTTGAGAAGGCTATTGGGTTTGTTTTCTACAAAGATAAAGTTGTCAGTGGTCAAAAACAAGGTGGAAACTCAAGGCCTTCTGAGAGGTCATTATGTTCTATTCCCCTCATATTTAGTTTATACAAGGGTCTACTTGTCTGAAAGCCTCGGAAGAGATTTCATAGTTCTCCAGAGATACCCAATTTTATTGCCTGATTACCTTCACTGTAAAGGTCTGCATTACACTTAATCTAAATATCTTCAAATGTCTCTGTATTTTTTATTTTACCTTCAGCAGCTGAAACTTTCTAGATCCCCAGGAATAGTGGTTACCCATTTGCTAGAGTCCTATGTTCCAGTATCTCCTTATATTCTAATCCATTGGTTCTCAGTCGGGGGCAGTTTGCCCCCCAGGAGACATTTGGCGATGTCTGGAGACATTTTTGGTTGTCACAACGGGGTAGGAGGGGATTGCTACTGACATCTAATGGGTAGAGGGTAAGGATGCTGTTAACCATCCTGCCATCCTCAGGACAGTACTCCTCTCCCCCTACAGTGAAGAGTTATCTTGCCAAAAATGTCCATGGTGTTGATATAAGAAGAGGGAATGGAATCAATGGAATTGTAATAGATAAGTATGATATCGGGGGTGGGAGGGCATTACATGGGGTGAGGGGGGTTGTTACTTTGTGAGGGTGAAAAGGATAACTATTGCATTGTTCTGTACACCTGAAACTTACAATAAAAAAAATTAAAAGTGGTAAAAAAAAAAAAAGAAAGAAAGAAAGAAACCCTGCCCTGCCCTGAACCCCCTCCCTGCTTTGCTGACTGGAGCCATTGTGACCCCTGCTGGGTAGCACAGGCCATCACATTTGGGCTTCTGTGCTCTCCCCTCCACCAGCATTGCCCTGAGTCAGAAGGGGAACTGGGACGTCATGTTTGGCTCTGCATACACATGATGCAGATCACTCATCTACACGGCTTGAAATGGGAGCCCGGCAAGGTGTTTTGCTCAAAGCAATTCTTCCTGCTTTACCATAAAGGCTGAAATTCCTACCATTAAAGTCACAGACAGAATCACCCCAAAAAAGCAACGTGTTGTAGAAACAGCACTTATTTTAGAATCAGAGAGACTTAGGGCTGCAAGTTCAACTTTCCCAGCTTTCTAGCTATTTGCCCTGCGGCAAGTTACTTAAATGCTTTGAGACTCAGGTTTCCCTCTCTTTAAATTGGGATGAAAGCAAACTACAAAGCTGTGAGAAGTAAATGTTTTTAAAAGAGCCTAGAAGAGGGCTGAGTACATAGTAGGCACTCAAATATTAGTTTCTTTTCTTCATTTAGATGAACTTAGGGTCTCTGGAAGGACAAATATAAAAACACATGTGTAATTTGTACCAGGCAACTCTAATCTGGCAGCTCCAACAAACATTGTAACACAGATCTCCAAGGTCACCTTCAGCGAGATGAGTCTGAGAACAGGGTCCTGTTCAGGTACCAGACAGGTCAGGTCAATGTTAGCTGGAGGTTCTAGAAAGGTGCACAGCATGAGGCACTCTACAGATGAGTTTTAAACTGGTTGTCAGAGCCATTCATTGAAACTTGTGAAAGGAAGCTACTAAAATAATTGAGAGGTGCTGAAAGGTTTTTATATTTTTGGAAGGGAGAGTACACCTGTATTGGTGTCACCTGTATCTGTTTCACCTATATCTATAGACTATTCCTTGGTTTAGTCTAGTTCTTCGTTTTCATCTTTTTGCTATGGTTCCCCCATGCTCGGAGAGATGGGATTTAATAACTAGTCCCAATGTGTCTAGAGACAAGGTGGGTTGATGGCAACTTTGGGGAAGGTTAAGATGGCCAAGCCTCCCATATCCCAGGCCAGACTGACTCCTGCATAACCTTTTAGATAGTGCCAGAGAAATAGCTTGGGACCCCCAATGAAGATGCATGAGAACCCAAAGAGAGATGTTTGTATCAG